TCATATTCCATCACGACCATCATTTTCCTATTTATTCCATAATAATCTTTTGAAACTTGATTTGTATGTCGCCTTTAAATGATACAATTTGATTTATCAAATGACATTTTCAACTTTTATTAACTAGTTTTGGAATAATTCATGATACTAAAATAGATCACCAATACGAGATCTGATACGGGATTTTGGCCGATACGTGATATTTGATACTGGATTTCTTTAATATCAGTTTTATTCCCAGTTTATTTCCCAGGGAACATGTTATTATTGAATTAATAATAATATTCCACCAATTCAATCTATATATTACCTTTTAAAACCTTTTAAAAATGTTGTGATGTCACGATGAATCGCTGTGGCAACGGTGGCAATGTATATTTTCAAAAATTGCCAATTTTAATTTTTCTTGTACCCAAAATTTCTAAATATGCTGAACTTTCAAAATAAATTATTAGTGTTGGTATGTTAAAAATAACTATAATAAATAACTAAGTATCTGTGTATTATTCAGGATGGTCAAAAATGAAAATCCTGTAGTTTCCCCATTCCTTTGTCATTTAAGGAGATGACTCCCTGATATTTCATACATTTCTGCATACGTCAATTTCCAACCAGTTTAATATATTTTATGACCATCAGACTGATAGTCACAATTTTACAGCACTTCGGATTTTGCCCTCATCGCGCTGTAGGCAAACCTGCACAGTTGTCAATCACCCAAATGCATTCTTCAGCAAATATGCCCCGAATGATACGGATAATCTCACGTTTTAATTGGGGCCTGCAATTGTTCTGAGGTCATTCTCATACACTCTATCTTTGCCGTATCCTCACATGAAGAGGCATTATGGACGACGTGTGCAAGTTTGCTTACGGCGCAATAGTTGCCACAGGGGCATGTTCTTGTTCTTTAAAATGCTCTTACAAGTGACTATCACTCTGATGGCCATGAAAAAATTCAAGATGTCCAAATGTGTAATCAGGGAGTTTTTTGGTATGACAAAGATATGAGGAAAATGGCGCACCCCGTATTTAAAACCAGCCTGAATTCGCGAATGAAAATATTGGCTACCTGGTAGATTGACGTTTGACGGGAAACTCATTTAAATATGAATAGTACCTGTCGTAGGTCAAACTAGTAGCCAGAATCTGGTTGTTGTATTCGCGAATACAAGCTCAGTTAAATGGATTCATTTAAAGCTTCCACCGGGATGTTTACATCACTATTCCATTATCTGCAGAGGCCTTTGCGTTTATAAGTGATTTCATATTTAAGGAGATATCCAAATATTCTTTTATAATAGGCTGTCATGATATCCATCTGTATATTCCTCATCCTTTTGGTTCCATCAGTCATCCATGCACAGGGTAAGTCATTGTCACTCTATTTAGATTCAAAACCACTTTAATCACTCCACATAACTATTTTACTATTTTACTAGTTCAATGATAAGAGGAAGATTTGTGCAATTTCAACAATTTTGTTTATTCTGCAAAGAGGTTTTACATAAAGACATAGTAACTTGCTCGTTTGCTGCATATCCCAGTGGAGTCCCTCGCTAATCACTATAGCTAAAAACAGTTGAAATAGAATGTTTAGTAGAATAAGAGTCATGCTTCAGGCCCTTAGCCAGGATTTGCCGAGGGGGGTTCAATTTCCAGGGGGGGGGTTCACATTTGATAATTTCGGCCCAAATATGGCAAAATCACTTGGGAAGCGCTCAAAAACGCCCGAACCCTGCGAACCCCCCCCCCTGGCTACGGGCCTGTGCTTAAACGAAATGGCAGCAATTTTTCGATTTATTGTAAATTGGTTATTTTGGATTATGAATGAAAATGGTAACCTTAAATATGGGAAAATAACACATTATTGTAAAATCTTAAGTTTTCCTAAAATAGAGTATACATATATGAGGATTTTTTGAAACAGACATGACAAGGAATGATATGAGCCAAAAATATTCTAAAATTGAAACATTCTTTGTTTTTAATTTAGCTTTCTCGGTAGATCCGATTCTCTCTTTAATCTTGTTCAATCGATAGTATATTTGTATAGTATCTCGTCCGTAATGTAACAATCAAAAGTTCCAGTTTTCATCAAAGTCTGACCATTCACGAATATATAATTAAATGGACAATAATGAATTAAGGCAAGTAAGGAGTAAAGGAATTGGAATTGTTTATATGAAATAAGAATTATTCGGGTGAAATTGCTATCTTACAAAGTTTTACACTCGCTGTTAGTTGCTGCCACTTTAAGTAAGAGTGTGATAAAATACCAACATATATGTATATTGTAAATCCTTTTGAACGAGTTTTTCTTCACAAAAAGTAACAAAAAACAAATTGTATAACTTACCTTCAACTATTTGACGCATATTAGAAATTGTCTTCTATATCATAGCCAACTGGAAAAGAACCTTCATTGAAAAATGTTTAAAATACCGCGGGTACAAATTCCATGGAATAGTATGTACAAAGCTTAGTACAAAAGTATTAGTACAGATTTTTCTGATAGTGAATACGGAAATCCGAAATTGTTTCCTAATTAGATAAAAAAAAATTGAAGATATCATATACAGGGTGGTCCAAAAAATGGGACACTCGTATTTCGAAAATAGATATTGATTTTCTTCATACTACATGTATATACCAGTAGATAGGGAATTTACTCATCTTTAATTTGGTATATTCATAAGTTCAAATTTATTATAATGTCTGTCAACCAGCGTCCATAATATAAATGACATCATTTTCGATTCGTTTCAAAACTAGCAAAAACCAAGTTTTATTGTCAACTTTATTCACATAAACAGATGTTCAATATGTCCACCATTTTTATCAATTGTAGCCCCCGATATTGGTCAATAGCATCATTGATATGCTGTTGAGACAATGAATTTTACTTTTCAACAAGTCTGTCCTTAATAAGGGACTTAATATATCTTAAGGATTTATGGTATACCAATATCCCAGATGCGAGTTGAAATAATCTTGATTTACGTCATTAAAATTCACAATTCGGTCAAACTGATGTCATATTTGGAATCTACATGTAAAATTACATTTAGAAATGTGGTTTTGAAAAGTGTTTATTAACTTTGAAAATTTAATTTTCTTTGGAAATGTGACTTCTAGGTCGGGGAGATTCCCCATAGACCCCATGTTGTAAAACCACAAAAAGTGAAATATCTTTTCTTGTGTTGGGCAGATAATATTTCCTTTTACTGGACATATTTTAATTTGTATAACTATCAGATACATAAAGATAATATGAAAAGTGAACCACTAAAACTGCTGCATATTCAAGTTTAAGGGAATTTTGTAATACCCTGCCATGTTATTTCCCCCGAATCAGCCACCTGGTGGCGAACCTGGTAACTACCTACTCGCATCTGTGTAATTCTGCCAGTCCTCCCCATACGTGGCAGTCGCAGACTTTGGGCAATCGGGTCATCTGGGCGAGGCAGTGATTAAGGAGGGATAAATCTGGGCACATTTTCCTTTAAACATTTGACACTGTGAGATATATTGCTTGGAGCCCCATCTTGTTGGAAAATGTACTGATCCGAAAATGAGTTCATATCAGGATGGTCCAAAACAACATCATTGGAAAATCGGATGTCAGTGTATGCAACTACCGCGTATTTGGAGAATTAACCGAATTGGTTTATCATGACCCCCTTACATCGACTCAGTCCCTTATTAAGGATAGAATTGTTGAGAGGTGAAATTCACTTTCTCAACAGCATGTCAATGATGCATTTGACTAGTTTTGGCCATAATTGAGGGCAACAATTGATTAAAATGGTGGACATATTAGCGTCAGTTTATGTAAATCAAGTTGACAAAAACTTGGTTTTTGCAAGTTTCGGAAAACTTGTTTTGAAACGAAAATGACGTCAATCATATTGTGGATGCTGGTTGACAGACACTATAATAAATTTGAACTCATGATATACCAAATTAAAAATAAGTAAATTCCCTATCCACTGGTATATAATACGAAATTTTTTCCTCAAGAAAATCAATATTTTTTGGGAAATACGGTTGTCCCATTTTTTGGACCACCCTGTATATGATAGTATACTAATAGTATACTAATCGTGCTAAAAATCAAGATCTGTGGAAAGGGCAAAACATGTTGACCGAAAGAAATGGACAAATCAAATGGCATGGATACTTGTTGAAGGACATGCGGGGATTTACGGTTACGAGGTAATTTGTAAAAAATGTTAAGAAATGTATCTTTTGATGGGGGAACGCGTATCACAGTCACCATTCATAGGTTTAAGTATCATAAAGTCAATCAGTTTTTTGTTTTTATATGAAATAGTGTGTGTGTGTGTTAGTTTACTGTTTTCTATTTTGCTTTGTATACACACAACTCATTATGGGTGTACGTGAGATAAATTAAAAAACCTAAATCTGTATGATACCACTCGTTGTACAAATTACATTGACTACCAACATGTACAACAATGCCAAATTAAAGGGTACAAATTACACCATGCATTACGCCATGCAATACTGGTACAAATTAAAATCCTAAATGTACTTTAACATGCGTTCATAGACTTAAATATTGCTGCCATTTCGTCGATCTTAGCCCAAAAATGCAAAACTACAAAAATAGAATCGGATTATGGCTCGGATTCATTCAACACAATGGCTTCGTCTGTGAAGGTTTGAATCTGCTGCAAACAAAATTGCCATCTAACCCCACAACTACAAAGTGTAATTATGAGATGAATGGAATACAATTAGATCATTCTTAAAATGTACATATTACTCCTCACTGAAAACATCGTACTGACATGTTTTATTTCATGCTATGTTTAAAATCAATTACATGGAGGTATAATTATATTATACAATTAAAATGTTTTTTGTTTCACTATGATGTATAGAACCATCTGAATGTCCTCTGGCGTGTCCACTAGATCTTCAATTTATACAGGACATATCTTGTAGTATAGATACGCCTAACAAAGTTCGAGTACAGGATTTCCTCATAGCATTCGTAGAGGAGCTTGGCCCTTGTATAGGCCGGAGTGACAGTAAAACACAGGTCAGTTAACATTCTCCGTTGACTTAACGTTATTAGACTCAAGATAAAAACCTTGAGTCTATTGCTTTTGCCTCTTTTCTTCTTTTCTACTGAGATCAGAAAAATGAAAATTGCCATAGTAAAAGTCAACGTTGTCAAACTAGGTCACAAATGAGGTTATCTAAGTTCTCAAAGTTTCATAAAACTGCTCGCCTGTTCAACTTCAGGTTTTTGCATATGCTTGAGCAGACTATAAAATAAAACGCGAATGTTTACAACTACCTTTTAATGAAAATAAAGAAAATGGCATGAGAAATACAATATGCCCCTAGATATGATGGAAAGAGCATTAAACAGCTTCAGCGGTATTTGTGATACGGGTGAATATGCCATACTCACCTGCGGTATATGGCATATTCCGCAGGTGAATATGCGATATTCCGCAGTGAATATGCAATACATTGATTTCAGTGAATATCCGATACTCACCTGCGGAATATGTCATACTCACTTGCGGAATATGCCATATACCGCAGGTGAATATGACATATACCGCAGGTGAAAACGTGATACAGAAAGCCTTGATTTGATTGGTTGCGAGAATCGATTCTAAATGTAAAACTACGCTGGATTACCATGAATATAGTTAGTGCGTCGACGAGTACTATTGAATCCTGTATTGATTGAGTACGTTTATTACGCGAGATTGGTGACTGAAACTTCTGCTCAGTTAATATATTCGATAGACAGTACTGTTGATTCAGTAATCATTATAATAATTTAAAACGTTTTACTTGTTCGTTCAATCTATGCAATTGACAATTGCGTACTTCCATATCACGTTCTCATTGGTTAGTGTGTATGCCATATACCGCAGGTGAATCTGTTATACACCGCAAGTGAATATGCCATATTCGTTGCGAAATATGCCATATTTTTTGTATCGTGTTTACCGCGCAACAAGTTTTAGTTTTACCTATAGCCTGTCCAACTACCCGTGCTTAGATACGGAGTACTTTTTAAAGTAGATTGTATTCTTCTGAACTACACACTCTTATTAGTAGTGCACACTTTCTTGATAAAAGTGCAATTTGCTAAACTGCATCTGTTTCGACATTGCATCATTTTTAGATGAGACTGTTTAATTAAACAGTCAAGTCAAGTAACTAAGTCAACATCCGAAAATAAAAAATCTCAAAAATCGTACATCTTTGATTTCCAAAATAAGTTGTGAGGTGGTTATTAAGATGATAATACACATTTTTACGTATTCATTTTGAGTACATCTCGAATCAATTCTCAACAAAGCGTTCGCGAAATAAGTATTCGAAATGTTTGAGTTCGGGATTCCTTTGGGAACAAGATATAGAATCAAAAGCATATTCTTCTTATTTACTCCCTGACAGATGCCAGCGAATGTTACGTTAGTGAATATCTCCGTTTTAAATAATTTTGTGAACGTTGTTCTCTACAGGTGACATTTTTTATAATTAAAAAACGAAATTGAACATTTTACATTTCTAAAGTTTCTTGGAATACAACATAACTGTTAACAATACACTTTTCGAACAAGTCAAGGTTCTGTGATCCAGCAATGTGCATTCTGAGAGAAAAAATTCACAAATATCAACAATTTTCATTGAGTATGAGATTACATTCGAAATCACAACCTTCAAAACATTTGTTTCAACCAAGAATTGTAAGAACTTCAAACATGTTTTTACTTTTTCAAACCACAAATCCTCATTTATGTTCTTTGACAAGTATGAATCCATTTGAAACCATGGATTTTCTTGATTATTCTTCAAAACTACACTTGAAATATAAGTATGTAGGATATTACAGTGTAAATTGACACGCATTTGTTTGCTCAATATCATTAAAAAATAAATGCAACTTACCATCTGTCAACATTCGAAAACAGAGAGTTCATTCTATATGTAAACAAGAAAAAATACATTTATGGTTGGTTCTTAATGAAAAATGGCAAATAACATACATCTTCTGAAGTAGGAGTATATAGGGACATAGTGGAAATTCAGAAATTTAGGCTATATCCCCAAGATTGCTTCACCAATATGTAACAGAACATCAAAATTATCATTTGCACGTTTGCTGATAGGTATATTGTAAATAATTAACCAGAGGTTTACTTCAATTGTGGCACCATACTTAGTAAATATTGATGGACATACGAATATCGAATGTTGACTTAGTTACTGGACTTGACTGTAAAGTGTCCGTTCAACTACATTCGCTTCGTACTTGCTTTTTGTATTTCACCTTTTGGGGTTAAACTGTAGTCTTTTCAGCAGCATGTGCTTCAGTATAACATACACGTAGTGTAGTTTTGCTACTACTGTACACGTTTCACGTTACTTTGAATCATTTAGATTGGGATGATCAGTTATGACGCAAAAACCTACAATAATTTCTATCTGAATACGTACAGTTCGGGTGCAGCTATATCACAAGCGATCCAGGATATGGATTGGAACCACAATAATGTAGGCAAAAACATAAAAGGATCGCGCTGTGGTACAGCAACATTTAAAGCCCTCAATGAGGCTAGATTAGTGGCTCTTACTGAAGCACATGGTATAAGAGATCCGCTAGGTATAAAATCACCACCTATAAAGAAGGTCGTCATTGTACTTACTGATGGTGCTACACACCCACCAGAAAAGTCAGGGGCCACTATCAAGGCCGCTCGGGAACTTAAAACAGAATCTGGTGTTACATCACTTGCCATTGAATTACCAAATTCCAAATTTGCAACAAAACCTGACATGAGAGCCCGTGCAACAAAAGAATTTAAGGAAATCGCATCAGCAGATGATGATGTTCTTCAAGTCACAGACTTCGGTAATTTGATCAACAGAATGGAGGAAATTTTGGGGAGACTATGTGGTACGTTTTTTGCAATAGGGATTTGTCAAAGATGGGGTTTTTCATTCTGTTTTTTCTTATCCAGAATTGATTCTCTTTTTAAAGATATAAAATAATATGTATGGCAGGTAGGGTACCATGTACTACTACGAAGAGTCCCCAATTACCTCCTGCCACTTGTATTTACAAATACAGTAAGGAGATTAGGTAAATGACAGGGGAACGGCGCCAAAGCTGAGAGGTTTCTCATTCGGGAGACAATGAGATATACTTAATGTGGCGACATAACACACTAGCTTTCTTCTTCACTCATCGTGTATTTATGAAGTGTTCATAAATTGATATTTAAAATATGACTGTTCAAATTGTAAGTGTTTACATTTTAATGCATATGCTTTTTCAACTTTCGAATCATTGGGTGGAAAATTGGGACCAAAAAGTCTTCTGATTGCATGGTGTTCAGGTGTACAGGTGTTCGTTCAGATGTAAGGTTTTATTGTGTATGTGTATATTCTCTTGTATTGATGATTGCCCTAGTGTGACGCAAGTGAATCATTTGGAAATTGGCTTTCTCGCCTCGCGGAATCAGTATTATTTTATCGAATGTATTTCATCAAAATAATTGGGTAGATCCCCAAACCCTGTCCATCAAATAGGATAATCTCTGTGCACATGATCGAAGTTTCAATATAAATGAGTTCTGAGTTATTAATGAAATGTATTTTGGGTGTTTTAGAATAATTGTTTGTATGTTTATGTAAGCAATTTTATTGATTTCAATGTTATGTTGTTCTTCAGATGTAGAGCCAACGATATTACCAGATGTACCCTTAGATCCATGTGCAAGATTTGCCTCCTTCAATAGAACATGTGAGATAACCATGGCCATGTGCAATCCAGCGGACCCTAGATGTTGTGGTTGTCCCCTGATGTTTAAGGACCCAGTAACCAAGGTATTGGAATAAGTACATCATATGAATATCATTGTCACTCAAAAATGGGAATTATTTGAGCTTGTTAAGGTGACATACACACATGATACAAAGCATTATATCACATTAAACTGCTATAAATATGACATCATATTATTTTATTACTAACAACACTGCAAGTTGACTTTAGATGATGCATTTTATGCTACTTCTGCAATGAACAAATTGACGAGGTAGTAAGTTATAAAGCGACAAAATTGTCCCGTCGGCAAGATATGTTTGCTTCTTTTAGCTATCGCAATTTTTTAAATCAAAAGCAGTAATAGGGGCTTTTTGTTTTCTAATATATATCTTAGTTTTATTAATTTATCTTCTCTCAGTCTGATAAAACGCCGTTCGAGGTAGCCTACAATCAGGGAATGTGCTTATGTGAGGAATGTATTCGAAAATCGCATTTCTGTATCCCGGAGGCTCTCCGCCCGATCCTAAGCTATGGGAAACCAAAAGTATCTCGTTATTACCCAGGAGCACCACCAGATGACGCTGATAATACTCCTTAAATTCACTATGGCTATATTCTGTTGAATAAAAGTTCTTAAACTTCGAGTCACATTGAGTTTGTTGCAAATACATAATTAAAGGGGCAATAAGGACTGTAGAGAAAATAGGAAAGTTTTTCATTTTTTCTGAGCTATCAAGGCAACATTTGGTTTAAAATCTTCTTTGACATACCTATTTTCTTAAAATGTATGAATAAATTATCAATTTCAGCATTAAGAAGTGTAAATTCAGTTCAAAGCTTCAAAAAGGGGACTTCCACTTTTATATTTTTAAGACCCACCATGTTTCAAGAGGAATATCAGCTAAAATAATGTTTATCTAGGGCGTTTCTTTGTAGATAATAAAAATAGATGTTAGTCTTGATGAAATATCCAAACTTAAATATATTTTGACACTGGTCCATGATCGTTGAATGAACCCTCTGCACTAATTATTGCACCTTTAACTACATGGTGTTACCTATTTCCATAATCCTCGTAACTTTTATATGAAATGTATAGAGTGGCAATATGTCCTCCTTAATTTTCAAAAGTATGCATTTTGTACACGTTTATATATTTTATCTTTGAGAGTGTTCAGTTATTAGAGAGTATAGCAAGATTCATTTCCATATCTTACTTAGAACTTCATTTTTATCAGGTCTTTGATTACATATCCCCAAAGCAGTTTGTTCTTTGCGTACTTCACTACCTCTCTGACGATTTTAAAATTACCGGGTCAGTCAATTCACAAGGAATCTACAAAAGCATAGGAAATTACTGTCTTGTAATCAACAACGCATAAACGATGACTTAAAAGAATGATTTTTTATGAATCTAAGTAATTAATGTTAGTGGAGCAAGAAATTGTAATATGTAAAGATCGATGATCACAGATCACATATCCGGGTTTTGTAATTCTACACGTCTTCAAGATGGCGGTTTAATTTTATTCTTAAAACGTTGTAAATATATAATATTATGTTAATTTCGGGCGAGTTAACCAATATCATAGCTTGTTAATGATAATAACAAGATAAAGAAAGACGTAAGAAATGTGCTTTTGCCGATTAAAACATCACATCGACTTGTGATATTCGTAAACTAGGCGATGAAAATTACGGTAAGTAGATGAGACCTGTGTCTAACTGTTCTTTACAGATAACTTAACATTTTTCTTACGAATAAATGCTTCTTACATTGGAATTGAGCATCTTATAAAATACCGGGAATTTAATCTGTAAAAATGACAAAACGCAGATCCTCAATTTTGCTTCATTATTAGATTGTAAAATCTTTTTTGTAGATTGTGAATCAAAAAGTGTCACAATGTGCAAATCATTGAAGGTAAGTCACATAATAATATTTTATTAAAAGTAATAAGATTAAATCCCCCGTATTTTGGTATATAACACATAGCTCATCTGTTTGATTCCCATTTGTATTGCCCACGCCGTAGCAGGCCCGTAGCCATAAGGGATTCGATGGGTTTCAGCGACCCCCCCCCCTCCTCTCCCTGGCCAAAAATTCTTTCAAATGCATTCCGATTTCACCATTCTTAGCTCTTTTTAGGTGATTTGGGCCATTTTTGGACCTAAATTGTTAAAAGTGAATCCCCCTGAATTTTTTCAAAAGGTTCCCCCCTCCCCCTTGGCAAATCCTGGTTACAGGCCTGTCGGAGAGTGAATATAGGCATTGATTCTTTGACATCGTCAACCTGATCTGATTTCAAATTGATCTGAATTCATGGTGTGTCATTTGTGTACTTAGCATTACAAATCAATGTTATAATGTCAACAATATTGTCCTTTGAGTTGGCCCCTGGTTTGCTCAATATTAAATAATCTCTCCATTTTATTGTATTTAAAAATAACAAAACTGCTTATCAAACATACAAGTTACATTGATACTTATGCTTCGATAATTTATGATAATAAATCTATTTAGAATTATGCCCGTTAGTATATTATGTCCAATCGAATTGCAGGATTACTTGAACAAACGTGGGCACGTGTTTTCTCAGAGCCGCGCATAAGCAAAGTAAAGGAAATTGTGGCTGTTTATTTTAGCTTCTTTTAGGCATAGTTATGACCCACACAATTTTTTTTACTTTATATCTGTACCCGTAGATAGGTGAAATTAAATAATTCAGTTGTAATTGAAACAAATACTTTTTTTATTGTCATCATGAAATGTCATCAAAGTGCACCCTTACCTTAAGGTAAGAGTGTATGTTTGGAATATTTGGTACTATGCAATCCTCATTGGAGAGACATTTTATTGTTAGGGAACACATAACTCACTCCGTTTCAGTTTTGTACAAGGAGTGCACTAGAAAAGAGTACAGAAAATTAACTGGTTTCATAAAATGTTTAAAAATGAGAAAATTCAGTTTTCTAGTTTATAAAAGGTCACTAATTTTTTCATTTTTGTGTACTTTATAAAAAATGTTGCTCTACACTCTTTTCTACGTTCATTAGTGCATTCTTAATGCAAAACTGAAAGATGTAGACTGTGTATCGAATCAGTTATGTGTTCCTGAACAATAACGTGTCACTCCAATGAGGATTCATATAAATTCACATATATACGCTTACCCAAAGTCTGATAATTTAAAACCTTGAAATCAATCAAAGCTCCATTGTTATGGCACCACAGCTAATTTTGTAGAAAAACTCATAAATATATACTCATAACAGCAGTGTTTTTGTTTCCAAGCTATAAACAATTAGTGATGTCATAATTTAATTCATCTAGCATGTGAGACTTAGGATGACATATCTCGAGTATGCTAGACAATAAACATGGCTGTTTTTAGCCAGTCATATGAAAAAAAATTCATCAAATAAACCTTTTGGTGTAGATGACATAACAATTGATAAATGAATTGACAGCATAAGTTTATTCATTTCCTTTTCATTAATTGTATGAAATCACATTAAGAGATCAGATAGAACAATAGAACGACATGCTGCTAAATATATCTCTGTATCGTTTGTCCTGCCAAAAAATCAAAATATTTTATTCATTTCTTTTTCGTTAATTGTATAAAATCACATTTAGAGATAAAGTGATTAAGGTGCCATGATACTTAACAGGAAATGACGAAACAGGAAGTGATAAAGAATTATGCCTTTTTAGACATTTTTTGAACAAAGATAACAGAGCTTTGTTTTGACCTCCAGTCAATCTAACTATTTCCATATATCATTTACATGACCAGGATCACAATGTGCATGGTCAGAATGACATGATGAAATAACCTTTTCAGCCCTTTGAAAATGTGACTGAAAAATAGCTAAAAGTAGGAGCTAGGGAAGGTCACTGAACAGAATCTTTTGAAATTTTCAGAAAATGTGCCCAATATATTAATATTAACTGCAATATGTTGCGATACTTTCCCTCCTTCTTTTGAAATTTACCCAAAACATCCGAATATAGCCCCCTCTTTAAAACATGCTCGAGCTATAGGATTTTGTACTTTTTCAAAAAAAATTGTTTTGAAATGTGCATTAACTTTTTCCTTTCTTTGTTTAAAGCTCCCAAAAATGTTGCTCGTTAAGTTTTAATATATGATTGAAGAATAATTTGTGTAATATTAAGAAATTTGACTAATTCCTACAAATTATACACAATTAAAATTTGAAAATTTCAGTCCTGCACATTATTTTCAATATTTCTGTGAACTTTACCCTCTCACCTAAATGTATGATCGTCGTATCTCCCAATAATAGTCCTTCGAACTTGTAACTGGTGGTGTGAGTAAACTGGCTGTCATCGGTTTCAAGGTTTCAAGGTTTCACGAAGTTAGATCAATGGTGACCCCGCAGTACCAAATTAAATAATGATTGATCATTATGATACAATTTTCTAAACACTGATTATGATTGATTAATTATATTTTTATATTTGTTTGGTCAATTGGATAAGTTTAACACATCCTTGTAATAGTTTCCGGGATCTAAGTGATACATCGAAGAGTTAAGACTAAGAGGTAAGACACACTTTAATATACTATGTATTGAACAGACTCGTGGTCAACAATTGATATGCTTTATATCCAATGCATCTTCCCACCTATTTTCAATGTTTTTTTACAATAAATGATTTCAAGGTAGTTATACACAGGCAGAATAGTTGGCTCTATGCGATGGCATAAGAGGGATGCTTGGATTATTGTTGAAATTAGGGACATATACATTTCTTTATTTAACACTTTTGAACAAGTTTCTATAGTTAACGATAATTCATAACTTGGATGGATTTAATCAACCATATCTTGTAATGAAATTATGATACATTCTTTTAGCACTGGTACATGATTATTAGAATATTAGAGAAAACACAGACAAGAAACTGAACAATAAATCAAATGGACGATACAAGATTTTTATTATTCTTAAATTAAACGTGATAATTAAACCCATCCAATGAACAAAAAAAGAAAGTGTTGTTTTTGAGTTTTGGAAAATATACATGTTTTCAACAAATGAAGTTAATAATTTTTCTTACATGTAACCAATAACCAATAAAAGTTTCAAACATTCTCCCCTTTTAAGGAATTCTTAGAGGTTTTCAATCAATGCAATTACATTTTGTAATACGTGATTTTAACGGTAAAAGTGTCGCTCATTTTGGATTTCTGCGAGATATTTTACCAAAACTTCTGAACATTATTTTTGATTTATGAATTAAACAAAAAACCTTTTCAATTTAAGGCAAATTGATAGAATTCCTGATTCTTAACAATTAAACATCATAAGATATTTTGCCAAATTTCAAGACATCATTTTTTACCTTTACGCTTAGCTGGATGTAAATTCCTGGCAAATCGATACAATACAAATGCAATTGGGATTAATACATAAAACTGATATTCCCTCAGTTAAAGTGACGGCCTTTGAATCTTTGTCAAATATTTTGACGACACAGGGCTCTCACAAGGAAATTTTTAGACCCCGGATTTTTAGCGGTATTGTGAATACTTTTTCGCGGTGTGGCGACTACTTCTCCCCCATGTGAGATCAGAGATATCCTAATAGTATACTTTTCAACATACTTCTTAGATTATCTTGCTATTTTAATCCCAATATTTATTTTTAAAAGGTTTCTGACTTCCATATTCCTTGTTTGTATCCAGTTTTATGTATTTTCTCAAGAGTTTTACCGCAAATAATGTGACAAAAATGTAAAATTAGACTCCGGAAAAGCTATTAGACTCTGGAGCAAGAGGATTTTAAGACATTAGATTCCGGAGAATATCCGGGGACTAAAAGCCTAGTGAGAACCCTGCGACAATATTGATGTGAAACTTGCAAAGTTTTCATGTTTGATCCCTACATTTCCCTTCACAGTTATATTGCATGCTATGGTGTAGTCTAAACAAACACTGAAGTTGAAAGGTTATTTAAGTGAGAAGAATACATGCATTGTATATGGACGATTGATACGTATACGTTGTCGTTTCGATTTTATATACAAGCTTAAATTCTCTAATATAGGATCCGTTCAGCTTTAGCGTTTGGTGTTTAGAAAGTGTTTCACGTTGGTATCAACGGATATCACTATACGCATGTCTAATAAATAATATGCTTGTGTATGTATGTTGCCATGCATGTTTGAGATACAAATAACTTACCGAATGAGCTTGTTAATAATACATGCATGTACCATCTTAGTTGCGGAAGTGTAGTCGAGACTCATTTCTATGAAGAAATCTCGTATATGCAGAACAAAGGATATTCTGACAGTTTGAAATGTTCACGTGTATTCAACAAATAGCTAGTTTATTCAGGAAAGACTAGAAAAATCATTTCCGTTCTCAAGCTAAACTGTTATTTAAATGAGAGAACTAAATGCAATTATTTGCGCACTTGATACGTTACACATTTCGTTTCGATTTTAGATGCACTCTTAACCTCCCTATTATTGTTGTTTGTCTTTAAGTTATGGTATTTACATACGATATCAAGCAAATTATTTAAACTCTTGAACTCGTGATTAAAAAGGAAAACATGATTTTTTACAATTAAGGTAGTATTTTAAGAGATATTTTACCAAAACTTCTCGGCATTATCGTAGATTTGTACACTTAGATGTTTGGATGATCCAAGTGAGTCGAACATTTGGAACTAATCATATGACAATAATCATGGTGTCAATATCGAATATTTAGGACATATTCCACGGAAACGTGAAGACATTATTCATACTTATAAACTTATTAGGGAGACAGTTCGACGCTGAAGTGATCAATATATAATATTTTGTGCATTTATATTTAAAACTAGGTCAACATATTAGTTTTCACTATCAGACTATGATGAGCATATCAGTCTTTTACATTATCATTATCCTCAGAGGGTATTGCTTTGTAAATGATTTCCCATTTAAGATGATAAGCATATGTTCTTCTGAGACGAAGTCATAGCTGACCTCGTTGGTCAGTCTACTTATTTCACTTCACATCAGTTGATGTCATAATGATATTTTTCTGTTACTCATGTTTATAAGTATTGCGTTATTTTGATTAGTTTATATTTGTGTTATAACAGTTGTTTTAGTGATCTTTGAACCCAGTGTGATATTTCACAATATCAACAGTTTAATTTCCAAGGTTTTATCATCATATTAGAGCAGTTTTAGGCATGAAATATTTCTAGAGCCAAGCAAATGAAAGGATTATTTTTGAGATATGAGTGACAGACAATGATATATGAAGTCAACTGATATGAAATTTTGTAATTTTTAGTTAAGATGTTTATAAGTTTCGATAGTTTTTGGCATCATCTTGAAGACTGCAAATTTCTGATAAGCAAAGTAAAAAGCGATTAAATTTTAGGTCCTGGAGTACAACTGACCAAAACATCAATACTGTTGTATATGCTTTGCAAATGTTTATACCTTTATTATCTACATCACATTTTACAAATAATTGTATACTTTTAGGGGAAACATTTACTTATAAATATGTGTTTCGGACATAAATTAGACTGTTAGATAATGAATTAAATTTGACAATTAGATTATACATCCAGAGTTCATGAGACAAAGCTCAGAGGTTTCGTCTAGACATTCCTTTCCCACCAAAATCTTCCAAATTCTTAGATTCTCAGTAAACATTCAAGCTTTGTGAGCAGAAAATCATCGCTATTTCTTATTGACATTCATAAAATTAAACAATTTTTTTAGGCCAATTTTAGTTAATGGGATTTCCTAATATTTTATTGGATAAGACCTTTTATTTCGGCTCTGCCCACCTCAAAATTAAGATATAAAAGAGGCATTTTGGCATTGAAACCTCAGAACCTCGTTGCGTGAACTCGGGACAACCAAAAACTGTAAGTAGCCGATTTTAATAATATTTTTGGACTTTAACTTTTCTTTAATAAATTAATATTTACACTTTATTTGTTTTCATGATTTGTAAAAGATAAAGAGACTTAACTTCGCCACACTTCTATTGTAGGTTGTCATGATATCTATTTGTGTATTCCTCATTGTTTTGGTTCCATCAGTCATCCATGCACAGGGTAAGTTAGGGTGACATTTCGTTACTATTTATTCCAATCTGCTTACTTTAATCACTTCAAATTATCCTTTTACAGGTCGATCCATAATTAAGAGGAAAATGTGTGCAATGTTTATACTTTTTTATATACAGGGTGATCTAACAATGGGGCACTCGTATTACAAAAATAAATATTGATTTTCTTCATGAAAACATGTCATATTATATACCAGTGGATAGGGAATTAACTTATATTTACAATATAAATGACGTCGTTTTCGTTTCAAAATGGGTTTTCCAAAATTTGCAAAAATCAAGTTTTTTGTCAACTTGATTTACATAAACAGACACTCAATATGTATAATATATAATAATGATGCCTGATAATAGAATTACAAAACAAATATTTGAATCGGATAGAATTGTAAATAGTAAATGGAATTAAGAGCTCCAAATTTTTTTAAATAGATGTAGTCATATAAATCTGACCCTCGTATGATGTTATCTGTTGTTATTTTTTCTGATTTGGATATTTATTTTTTCTTATTTTCTTGCATACGAGCGTCATACACACTTCCCTCATCTAAATTGCGGGAAATGCTTTCCTGGCCTGTCTACCCAACCAAATTCACACAAATGATAAATAAATTTCTTTGGTTCAACTATTGAGTATTTAATCTTACCTTAGGCACGTAAAACGCTTGGTAATTGAAGAAATATAAGCATGCCGCTTGAATTTTAAAATTTTTTCATTTTGCCATACCAAGGTCATTTCCGGGTTAATCTGAGTCTAGATGTAAAACTATATCAAACGAAATCATAAATATTTGTTACACGAAGATTCAGTTGAAAGGAAAGCAGTGTCGTTAAGAAGGGAAGTTATTTAGAAAAGTTATTGTTTCAAAATGAGAAAAGTGATAAGTATGAGAGAACGGCTTTGGAATCGATCTCTGCGTAATAAATAATTATGATTCCGTTTCGATACATGTTTTACATTTAGACTACCGGAAACAGCATTTAGCAACATGGCGGGCGATAATGAAAATATAATTCAATTGAATATATTTCGTCAATTATCAAGCGTTTTACATGTCTAAGGTAAGATTTAACACTTTGATGTTGGAGCTAAATAATTACTCGATAATTTGTGTGACTGGTTGGTATGGTAACTATGGTTACCCAGACAGGACAGGAAAGCTTTTACCGCAATTTGTTCCATAGAATATCTACGACCGTATATGCAAAGAAAATGATAAAAAATAAATATCCAAATAACAACTAGGAATATCGAAGAACAGCATATAACGGTCGGATTTATATGACTAAATAGATGTGGCTGTCAAGATAATTTTGAGAATTTAGAGTATTGTTATATAAAAAAATGTCAAAAAGAAACTTCTACATACATATAACAAAACTTGGAATGATTTAATTAACAAGAAACCAAAATTGAGAACATATGTAAAATTGAAATCCTCATACAAAACTGAGTCATATTTATTGCTAAATTTATCTAAGTTAGAGAGATCTTTAATTTCACAATTACGCATGGGAATTTTGCCACTTGAAATTGAAACTGGTAGATTTATTTAGAAATGAAAATTGGAAAATAGAAAATGTACTTTATGTAAATCTGGCAACATTGAGGATGAGGAACATTTTATTTTTCAATAAGGGGAAAATATTTACAAAATCATCAACTTTTTGAAGAAAGAGAATCAACTGTAGAACTTAAGTTTCAATTTTTATTTGAAAAAATGCCTCGGCAAGCTGCATCTTGTTGGAAATGTAATGATTCGAAAATGAGCTCATATCATGATGGTTCAAAAACAACATAATTGGATCATCCGATGTCAACGTCAACTACCGCGTGTTGGTAGAACGAACAGAATTGGTTTACCAAGTCCATGAACCCCTTACATCTACCCAGTCTCTTATTAAGGATAGAATTGTTGGGAAGAGGAATTGATTGTCTCAACAGCATGTCGATGATGCTATTGACCAGTTTATGCCAAAATTGAGGGCTATAATTGATCAAAATGTTGTACATATTGAGAGTCTGTTTATATAAATCAAGTTGACAAAAAACATGGTTTTTGCAAGTTTTGGAAAACCCGTTTTGAAACGAAAATGATGTCATTTATATTATGTACAGCTAGTTATCGGAACGGGATTCATAAACACGCTTATAAGTGCTATGCAAAATCTCTCTATTGCTGCAATTTCGTCGATTTTACTCAGCTTCACTCAACTAATTTTGAAAGTTTGATGCTGTGTTTCGATTTCAGGTTTTGCGATGTATATATAGCATGCAAGCAATTATGATATAAGTACGGTATAATGATAATATACAGTCAAAATGTGATAATATACAGTCAAAATGTTTATTATTTTACTTTGATGTATAGAGGTGCCTGCTGGCTGTCCTCTGATGTGTCCACTGGATCTTCAAATCATACAGGACATATCGTGTAGTATAGAAACGGTAAACAAATTCCAAGTACAGGATTTTCTCATTAAATTCGCAGAGGAGATTGGCCCTTGCATAGGCCATGGTAATATGCAAACTCAGGTGAGTTATGCCTGGGTCACATTTGCTCCGATCCATCTGCCGGCGCCCGCCCGATTGAGTGTTATGTTTCTGGCTTTACTGTAATAACAAATACTTTTTTCTCTTAAAATATTTAAGACAGAAGCTTTTTATTTTAACACCATCCCAAAAAGTATTAAGTCATATCTATGAATAATTTGAGATCACAATTACGCTTTGTTCAAATGTTATGCCTTCAAAACATAGTGACCCCTTGGAATATATGTGATATTAGGGGGGATAAATGACCAGAGCCCTCATTATCCGGTCAGCGCTAAATTAGCGTTGCGATTTGCGTTGCGCTTGCGAATCAACATTATTCGCAAGCGCAAATCATGGTTTGCGTCGTATTACGCGCTTCACGCAAACGCAGACGCAACGCAGACGCAACAGTATGCTAATCGCAAATAAATTGGAAACGCGGGAAATTTAAACTTAGAGCTCAAAATAGATTTATCGATTTTTTAATGTCTATGTATATGTTTACGCCAGTGCGGATGTGTCAATCCCATACTTGGACGTGTTATAGGTACATAAAGTTGGTTTGTAAAAACTTTTATCCCATACTTGGACGTGTTACGGGTACATAAAGCCGGTTTGTAAAAACTTATATTTTCATCAGCGGGCAGATATAGCTTTACGTCCCGCTCCGAGCGGGCAGATATAGTATATCTGCCCGCTACGTCATAATCGCTGTTCCCGTAGTGGTCCTTTTTTGTAACGTTCGCATACTGTAAACAACAATGGAGAAAACCGCAGACAATCGCGATCTGTTATATGCTTTAAAGAAGGGTAGGAGCAGTATGCCCCGTTAATAATCAAAGATTTGAACAGGAAAATCCGGCTACGGACAAGAATACAAAACTGTACATGAATATTTTAAAATAATTCCACGGTTTGTTGCTAAGTTTCTGAACTTTGGGCAATTGAACAATGTGATTGATATGGGATAAACAGATCATCCTATAGTCGGTTGAAAGGTTATTTAAGGTTATTTACGGCCCTCGGGCAGATATATTATATTGGCCTCGGGATAATCCCAATATCCTGAACCTCATATAGGATAATCTCTATTTATTCCATACTTAGTAGTGTTATAGGTATATAACATGCGGGAATATATGTGACGTGAGCGGGAGATATATATATCTCCCGCTCAGCAGATCTACGACGTCATAAATTCAGGGAGTAGATACTGAGCCAGGGGACTTTGCTATTATTCCTCACAATCTACTAAGTATAGAATAAATCAGTTATTAAATGCTCGATTTTTGATACAGGGTATATCCCTCGGTAAATACAATATATCAACCCTCGGTCCCTACGGTCCCTCGGGTTGATATATTGTATTTCCCTCAGATATACCCTGTATCAAAAACCTCCCATTAAATAACCTCTATATATTTTCATCAGCGGTCAGATATATCTATACGTCCCGCTCTGAGCGGGCAGATATAGTATATCTGCCCGCTGACGTCATAATCGCCGTTCGCATATTGGTTCATTTTTGTAACATGCGCATAATTACTGTAAACGTTAATGGAGAAAAGGCAGACAATCGCGATCTGTTTGAAGGGAGGAAATGAGCGTATCCCTGTTAAACAAGGATTTCAGAAATAAATGTGGATGAATATCTGAAAATCAGGCTATTCTAAATGAATTCTTACGGTTGGTTGGACATTTTCTGAACTCCGGCCAATTGAACAGCGTGAACAAAATGACCAAGACTGGTATGGGATAAACAGATCATCCTATAGTTCAATATCCTGAACCTCATATAGGATAATCTCTATTTATCCCATGATACTACTAATTCCCGATGAATAACCGGGAATATTTTTAATATTGAGAAAAAATCATATTGAAAATTTTTGCCAAACAAAGCTTCCTCTTTCAATTAGTTGGGTCGATATAGCATGCTAAAATGATGTTCTTATGTGAAAAACGAATTCCAGTTTTATCATCATCGCTCTGACATAGACAAAAATGCTTACGTATTGCTGAATGTTTTGATGTTGATGCGTTTATGTTACACATGTACAATAATTTTTTTATATTTAAAAATATCATAAAGCTAAGTCATATTATCTTGATTAAATATACCATTTTTTCATAGAAAAATCTAACTAATGATTTTATGAAGACAGTTATGAATATCATGGAATAAAAAGCTAATTTACTGGTCGGGATTAAATATGGGTTTATTCCTCATGACAATTTGATATTTCACATATTGTGAGGGACAATTTGGTATTTCCCTCTGACCCTCCGGGCTCTCGGTAAATATCATATTGTCCATCATAATAAAACCCATATTGAATCCCTCCCACTACATAACCTATATATATCTTGCGAAAATCTAGATCTGTCACTGGAAGGCAGCCCATCTTGAAAACAAGACACGGTGTCTTTGTAATTAGTCCGACTGATATAGCCTACCTAGAGAAAACCGCCGATACCTCAGCAACAATGTTCGAAACAGTATGTTTGGATACCCCGAATATATCTCCATTTATCATTTGCATACAACCTGTAGCATAAAATCGTAATGAAATGAATACTTTTAGCTGACATGGAATTGCCTGAGGATTCCTTGTTCTTGACGCTAGATCCCCATCTAATATATTAATCAACTCAAGAATGAGTGGCCTCGGCATGCGATATCTGTTTAATATCTCATCGTCAGTCATCTCTAACGGCTTACTCCTGTCTCTGAATAAGCGTAAACCTCTTATATTGTGAACATAATTAATAATTAATAATTTTAATTTTAGCAGACGATATTTGCGAAATGGAATTGCGATATTTATTATAGATTTCACAAAACCAAGGTAGCATAATCGTGCACTTTCAGACTTGATTTTGATAAGTTTTGGTTACTTGTGTCTCTAATGTTTTTCAACCTATTTTTAGTTGGATGTCTCAAAGGGCACTTCCTAGATTTCTACAACGATAATGTTAATTTAAATAGGAAAACTATCAAGATTCTTGATGATATGTTTGCGATTTATATTGCGGCAGGGTCAGGGATGCCGCAAATAAAGTGGAGTTTGCGACATAAAAATCAACTGATTTACGTGGACGCAACTGTGCGATGACTGCATAATACCAATTTGCGTGCGGTTAGCAGTGTATTTGCGATGCGAAATGAAAATAGCGATGCGTCTACCGTGTAATAAGAAAACTGCGATTTGCGCTAAAGACGCAAAACGGCAATGAATTTGCGCTAGAGTGCCTTTGAGATGGCCTCATAATATCGTTTTGCGTACGATTCGCTAAATATTTACGTTGCGATTGCGATTTGCGGTGCGTCGACCGGATAATGAGGCCTCAGTACTCTGTAAATATGAGATTTTAGGTGAGGAAAAAATAGACATGATATTGAGGATATATAACAGGTTATACTAGGTGGCTTCAGTTAAAAACTCTGCTCAAGATCATTTAAAAAAATTCTTAATTAAAAGGGTATTTCATAGGGGGCGCCACCTATACAATTGTAAAAAATTTTGCCCACCAGTGCCAAACCGGCACAGTTCTGATTTTGAAAGTCAATAACATATAGATAAAGAAAATACAAAGATATAGCATACATCCTAGAAAGCAACCAGCTCCATCGATTCCACAGGACTAATTCTATTTTGTTTTTTTATTTATTAAGTCACATTACAAAATACATGTACAAAATATTATTACTGAATTGTTTCACATATTTTCCAATATTTGGTGTAGAAAACATTTTTTCTAATTGTTATTCCCTTTTTTAAAGAATACAAAATGAAGTCCACATTTCTAATGTTGTTTTCATTAATTTGTCCGATATAAGCCTTGTATATTGTTAGGAAATCACACGTATAAAATAATTTAAGAATTTGCTATAATCATCATTGCCATTGTAACCTAAATTTCATCAATATGTTTCCAGATTCTCTTGGCCAAAATACAATCAAATGTTTTATTGAATCTGGATTCCTACAAATATCACAACTATAATTGTGTGCCTTTCCAAATATAAATAGTTCACGTTTGCTTGGTAAAATTCTATGAATTATTTTGTAGTTAAAATTGGCAATTTTCATTCATTTAGTATACATATTGTTATTTTTTTTTTCAAAAAAGTTATTCTCAGTTGATTTCAAAGGTATATTCTCCATTTCCAAAACAAAATTGCTTTTTCCATCTATCTTTCAAATACCATTTTCTGGCTTTTAAAATTAAAAGGCAGAAAATGTTCCAGCCTTCCTTAGTCTGCTCAACTACATGCACTTCAGTATTGAGTCATAGGGTAGACTACCATATCCTCGTTTACTTGCATTGTATTCCATCTTTTGAGTCTATAGAGCTTTCAACTACACGTTATTCAGTATTAAATGACAACCCGGACCCAAGACATCTCAGACCACTTTTTTAAAATTATGATTTTTATCATTATTTGTGGTTTTATTTTTTTCATTTATGAAAATTAATACATATATTATATATTGTGACTTCATATTTTGTATTAATTTCATGGAAATGTTTTAATTTGACTTATTTGATGAAAATAAAGTAGAGGATATTGAAGCTAAAAGCCCAGAACAACTCGGACCACTTTCTGAAATTATCCTTTTAGTTGTCGTAATTGGGGATTATTTGTTTAATGTTTAGCATAACATATTGTGAGTTTATATATTGTATTTATTTGATGAAGATCTTTCAATTGGTAACCGGCTTTCAGTTAACTTATTTGATGAAATTTATGAAGCAAGACCAGTAAGAGACTATTGAAGCTTAAAACCCAAGACAACTCGGGCGACTTTTTGAAATTATAGTTAATTTAATTAAAACAATTCCATGGAATTAACACAATATATGAATTCACAATATATAATATATGCCATAAAAAAACATTAAATAAAAAAATTAGAACCCCATACAATAATAAAAACCATCATTTCAAAAAGAGGTTCAAGTTGTCTTGGGTCTTTAGCTTCAATAGTTTCTTACTTCTTAAATCTCATCAAAACATTGATTTCAAACAATTTCATCAAATTAACATAATATAAAATTTTATAAAATAATTAAAACCAAATATAATGATAAAAATCATCATTTCAAAAGGTGGTCCGAGTTGTCTTGGGTCCGAGATGTCTTGGGTCCAAGTTGTCCAGGGTCCGAGTTGTCCTGGGTCCGAGTTGTCCGGAAACCGTTGTGCTACAACTGAACGTATAACTTTAATTTATTATAGATGGGGCTGATCAGTTATGACAAAAAAACCTACCATAATTTCTATCTGAATCGATATAGTTCAGGTACAGCTATAGCACAAGCCATACAGGATATGGATTGGAACCACCAAAATATAGGCAAAGGCAAAAAAGGATCGCGCTGTGGTACAGCAACATATAAAGCCCTCAATGAGGCTAGATTAGTGGCTCTTACTGAAGCACATGGTATAAGAGATCCGCTAGGTATAAAATCACCACCAATAAAGAAGGTCGTTATTGTACTAACCGATGGTGCCACACATCCACCAGAAAAGTCAACGGCCACTATCACGGCCGCTAGGCAACTAAAAAAAGGATCTGGTGCTACGACAATAGCTCTTGAGTTACCAAATAATAAGATGAATAATGATCCTGCGCTGCAAGCCCGTGGGACAAAGGAATTTAGGGAAATTGCATCATCAGAAGACGCACATTTTAGGGTGACAAATTTCGATAATTTAATCAATCGAATGGAAGAAGTTTTGGACAGCTTGTGTGGTAAGTTTTTTTGCATAAGGGAATTTGTCAAAGATCTCCAAAATTGAATTATCTTTTTAAATATACAGAGTGACCCAAAAAACACCACCACCACTAATTTTGGAATAACTTTCTCAATAATTATTAATGTACGTGATTTTTTCTGTAGATGAAGCATCAACAACTTTCAGATTTAGAGATATCGCGTTTTCAGTCTTGATGAACATACAATACAATACAATTTTCTGAAATCGGGATTTCTGTCTTTGTCATTATGTCATTCATTTTTGGATTGCTCACTACTTCAAACATCTATTATCAATAGTATGCCATACCTATCCATATATTTTAAATACTTTTGACTTTGAAAACTTTGACTCACTAATTGGGTAAAGGAAGAGGTGCGTTTATTGGCAAATACCACTATGGTCAAAATGAATAATTCTTAGGTGTAACATGAAGAATAGAATGTCATATAACTCTTTGGAAAATATTAAAGTGCTCGGGCACACATAGGCTGAGATAGGGGTCATTTAGTTAAGTTAGGTTGTATTGACTTACATGGGGCTGTTCATCATTGACTTAACATGAGGATATCAGCAGATCCCAATAGAGGCCATTAGGTTCTATTGATTATCACAAAAATACCAAAAATACACTATGACCTGAATTGATTGCAAACTTAATAATTTTACAATATGACACTAATGGTTTATCTCATCAAATGTGCAAATATGAAGTTTGCAATCGAGGTCATACTTAAAATTAAAAGATTGTACATTTTTTCATCATTTTTTCCCTACAAAGTGGCTATAGAAAAATGCTCCAAAAACAACTTTTACACTTATCAAAAATCATACAACTTTGTAAAACCAAAGAATATACTATTTTGTTTCATTATGTAGTAACATATTTGGATAAGATGTAGGGATGCGTAGGATGCAAATGGATTTTGACAGACACAAAAATACTTCCTGGTTTTGAATCTATGCCTCTACACTTCATGAGTGAATTATGACCCTTATAAGTGGCCTATAAATCAATACTGTGCTGAATATAGGTCAACAAGATACTAGTGTGCATATAAATGTAATAATTAAAGCAGAATACTCACTTTGAAAAATAAGATGAATTAATTTTTTCTCGTGGGGAGATCCCAATTGAGGGTGCATATGGTCCTTTTAAGAGGCAGATTTTCTAAGGATCTGTCACCTCAAGTGTAACTATAAATTTGTTATAAATTCAATGTATGATTATGTGTTAAATTCTTATAAAATAAATAAAGGTTATAGCGTTATCTCACTGACTCCCTACTAATTTTGAAAGTAAATAGATCTAAGAACATGTTTTCAGGCAATTCCAAGAGCGATCCATTTCTCTGCCAAAAGTGTGTGTTTTTGTAATTATAATCATTTTACTGAGGTTTAAGAATATATTCACTTCAATATTCTAACAATATCAAGATTTATTTATGCCTTACACCCCAGTCACATTTCCTACGGCGACCTTGCGGTCTATCATTTCTGCGGCCAGTAGCTTTTCTACGCTCGTCGCAGAATTTCTGCGCTCTTATACTTTTGCAGTCACATTTCCCACGGCAGCCGCACGGTGAATTTTAAATTTCTATTGATAAATAATAGTTTTTTTCATTTTATTTACATCAGGACAATTTATAAATGTTATTCAAAGTGCTAGGATGTAATATCAAATGAAAAGTGATCGTGAAACATTGACAAATAATGATTCAATCTTGTTGAGCCAGTTGATTTCTACGGGGACCTCAGAAATGAACAAATATTATAACTCCGAGTTATAATTTCTACGCCTTCCCTGCGGCCTGTAAAAATCTGCATACGCTGTACAGAGGCCGCAAGGCGTGCGTAGTTTTTCTACGCTCGCCGCAGAAATTCACACATTTAATTGTTCTGCGGTCGACTTGCGGCCGCCGTGCGACAAATGTGACTGGGGCGTATCACCGCGTTGATCACCCCTTGTATCATCATATTGCTATATGGTGATATTCCTATTATATGTAAAGTCAATGGAACCAAAGAAAAAGATAAAAACCAAAACTGTGAAAGGATTGGTATCGATATGGAGAACTGAATTCAACAATGTTTTTCTCTTAAACCAATCATTGAAAACATTCTTTAAAAAACACGGTATTTTATGTAAAATTAACTGATTGACAAAAAATTAATGCGAAAATTATTTAGAAATATTTTATATATAACTGTTTTATTCACATTTTTATTTTTAGTGCAATTGTTTTTGCTCTTTTCTACCAATTCTTGAGAATGAAATAAAATGTCTTACCGAACCTTGTTGGAACAAAATAGCATATACAACATGTTTTTAGACCTCTCAATATTATTATTCATTAACAAGATACTTTTATATAATCAACCAAAATTACAATATTGAGAGACCTAAAAATATTGTGTTTATGTCGTTTTGTTCCAATGAGGTTCGGAAAGATGTTTCATTTCCCTCTGGAAACATGATACCAAGAACAAAACAAGTGTTTGATTTGTTTTTCTAAAACAATATAGATGAAAGTATATATCTATTATATTGATACCATTCAAAGGATGGCCATTCAATTGACGATGTGTTAAATTATTTTTAGATTTTTTTAATGACTGGTTTAAGTGAAACGTGAATTCAAAAAGTTCTCCATATCCATACCACCCCTTTGAAAGTTTGTTCTTAACAACATTTTTATCATATTTTCACATTTTAGGTCTTATAAATGATGATTTCGACACAAGAATGTTTGATTTTCATATATTCATTGACTTGACCTTTACAAGGTCACGATGACCTCAATATCACTTTGGATACACCTGAACATTATGCTATAATTAACTCCTTAACATAGACCACCATATTATAGGTTATAATGGTTATGGATGCTATGGAGGCATTATTATATACTTGGGGTGACAGATCCTTCACAATTTTGAGTGATTTTGTGTCAGAGCACACATACACGGAAAATGAGATCTCTTCATTTCCAAGTTGTTGATGCTTTGCAAGCATACCATTCTTTTTTACCTACACTTAAACCATACTTAGGAAGCGACGCAATAGATTGAACTAAGTTTTATTTCTAAGGATATTCAGCTATAACTAACCTTGGCCATTACCCATACTCAAGACTCATTGGTTACCCCTCACATAAAAGTCGCGAAGATACCTCAATTATCGAGAAAGTTATTCCAAAATTAGTTGCATTGGTGGTATTGTTTTGTGTCACCATGTATAATATATATAAAATAATTATTACCTATACTTCTTAACAATGCTCTTGAATGGCATAATACCATGTACAACTTCGAATGTCCCTTTTCCCTCTTGCCACTTGTATTTACAACTACGGTAAGGAGATAAGGTAAATAACAGGAGAATGGTGCCAAAGCTGATAGGCTTCTCCTTCGGGAGACAATGAGATATACTTAATGTGTCCACTTAACACACTTGCTTTCATTTACTCATCATGTATTTATGAAGTGTTCACAAATAGATAGGTTTATTTTATTTTTGATTTTTAAAATATGACTGTTTAAATTTGAAGTGGTCACATTTTAATGCTATTTCAAACTTGAAGTCATTGGGAGGAAAAATTGGGTCACTAAAAAGTCTTCGGATTGCATGGTGTTCAGATGTACACGTTTTATCGTTACATATGTATATTCTCTTGTTTTGATAATTGCCTTTATGTGACGCAAGTGAATCCTTTGAAAAGTGGAGTCGAGAAATCAGTATTTATCGAATGAATTTTATAGGAATAATGGGATAAATTCCCAAATCCTATCCCTCAAATAGGATCATTTTTATGTACACGTTCGAAGTTTCAATATTAATAAATTTTTAATTATCGATGAAATGTATTTTGGGTGTTTTAAAATAATTGTTGTATGTTTATGTGAGCAATTTTATTGATTTCTATTTTACATTTGTTGTTCTTCAGATCCAACCCCAACGATATTACCAGAAGACCCAGAAGAACCCGTAGATCCATGTGAAAAATTTTCCTCCTTCAATAGAGAATGTGAAATAACGATGGCCATGTGCAATCCAGCGGACCCTAGATGTTGTGGTTGCCCTATGATGTTTAAGGACCCAGTGACCAAGGTATTGGAATAAGTACATCATAGGAATATCATTTTCACTGAAAAATGGGAGTTATTTGAGCTTGTTACACTGCGTCAAATGTGAAATTCCAAGCAATTTCTAGACGTGCAAAGATAGTCTAGGAACTCCGCGTATCTAGAGATTCCAAGACGTGTCAAGAGGTGCAAAGACCCCGCGTGTAAAGAGCGTGTCAAGAGTTTTGATATCTCTTTGCACAGCCTTATCAAAACAAACAGTATAATTAGACTGGCCACATGTTGTTATGCCCTATAGTCGCGCTTAATTATACTTTACTAGGATTGGAATATAACAATCATTTTAATTTCGTGTTTATAATAATTTGTGTTTTTAAATCATTATCAAAATAAAATTAATTTAAAAGTATGCGTGTGCGTGTAAGTATAGGCAATAGCTTAGTCGGAATGAGTAGATGTGTGCAGATGGAGATCGCCTATGTATTTTGCTAAATCTGACATTTTTACAGGATCATGTTAAAGATCAAATGAAAACACGAAATGTGTTTTTCTTAGGTTTATCTACCCTGATTTCGAGTGATTTTAACTTGGACGCATATTCCTAGATATTAAAACAGTTTGAATAATTAACAAAGTCCACTTTGAACCGTGTCAATCAAATTATCAATTGTCAAATATGTAGATAGCACATGCAGGCCCGAATACAGGGGGATAGATTGGTTCTAGCGACCCCCCCCCCCCCCCCTCCGTGACCAAAATTGAATTTTTTACCCCATACTGAGCACCTTTTAAATTATTTTGCTCATTTTTGAACTAACATTGCCAAAAGTAAACTCCCCCTGGAATTTCTTAAAAAAGTAACCCACCCCTTGGCAAATCCTGGCTATGGGTCTGAAACGCCTGAAACATGCTCTGATATAATGAGGCATATTCTGTGATCTGAGCATATCAGATGGGAAGAGTTATGAATGTCAATAAGTGTGATTGTTATCATGTAATCATCTACCTTAATGTCAATACATTACATAATGTAGTAAAAGGCATTGTACATGTATTTAACAACAGGCACACCCTTCTTCAAAGAACTTCATTTATACTTGTAAAATACCCTTCCAGCGAGGATGCAACAGGCACAGTTACACAAGTTTTATGACCCCAATTAGATGAAATATGAGCTGGGATGAAAGATCTCAAAAATCAAGGGCTGGGAAGATTTGAGATGTCATGGTTTACTATCATGACGCTGAAACATGTGTCGCTTATTGTCACCTGTATTGATCATGATGGGGCGACGGCAGTGCCCCGAGTCTTTTTGATCTGTTTAATCTTATTAGTTACTATTTAAAATTGAATAATTTAGGACCCCGGAAGCAAAACAACTCTTTGTTATGAAAGGAATACACCACCCACATGGACAGAACCCCTCATGTAAACCATCTATAAATACCTTTGAAATCAATTTGATTTTCGATCTACATCTGAATCTCAGATGGAGAGTACTCTTTGACAAGATCAACATTTAAAAGTGTAGGAAAGTTTTGATAAAGATGTTTAATAGCTAATTATTCAGACATATTGTTCTTTCATGTTGACGATCATCGAACATAATTGCAATCAACTTCCATGATATTTGCAATTTTGAATTTTGAATTATTTTGAATGCAAATGTACTCAAGTACTATATCCTGAGTTCTGCCCGGATCCCCGAAAACGTTTAAAATCAAACTCGATTATTTAGCTAGACTTCAAAATAAGGCATTCAATAGAAACATGAAATCCATATCACTGTATAAATTGTGGAATTTCTAGTAATTTTTAGACGTGCTTAGCCGGTCTAGAAACTCTGCGTATCTAGAGATATTGACCAGGGCCTACACCAATATTCTTAACACCACTTATTAAAGGATGCATGCATTAAGGGGTAGACATCATTCAAAAGACATAAACATGACCGGGTCGGTCAGGGGAAGGTTTGCATACGATGCAATTTGTACATGCAAGCTCATTTTTCACATATAAATTAATAAAGTCGATTCCTTGGGAATACGTTATTGGGTTTATAAGCGTAACGAGGAGAAGCGATGGGTTCGCACCCCCTCCTACAAGCAATAAAAGGTATCATAAGGTAGAGGAAGAAAAGAGCATTGAATTGATTTTTTGTTTGAAGCTTCTAGCTCAGGTTTGAAGGAAGTTGCATCATTTTCGTAAAAATTCAAAACAAATATTTTTTGCCTCATTTATGTCACGATCGCACCCCCCGACTGAAAACCTAAAATATTTTGGTGATTGCATCACCCCTCCCCCCGACTGAAAGCTGGCTACGGCCCTGGGGTTTTATCGAAAACTATATCGTCAACATTTTATCATTATGCGGAAAGTCCAATATGAAATCTTAAATGGTAAATATGTTGCATTTATGGAGGGAATTCCACTGTAAACTATAATGTGAATGTTTGATATGAATACTTCCATACAACCATCAATATCCATTCTTTTGAAATAAGATGTTACAACAAAGGGAATATTGAAAACTACAGTGGTAAGAGCATCTTTCTGACTGCTAATTATGTGTATCAACATTTTGATTGCACCTCAGCTGGAGATTAAATCTTATAATAATTTGATCAAAGGGATTGTAATTTTCCCCAATTCGCTTATCTATGTTACAATCTGTATACTTGTTATATTGTGAGCGGTATGTGTTGATAAACCAAAAAGATATGTTTTTTGGATATCAACATTTAGAAAAAAGTGTAAGATACCATTCTATATATTTTCTTAGTGTTTAGCATAGGTAAGAATGGGGGATGGGCTGGCGGGGTCCGGTTTTGAATAATTCCAAGGGGTTCATATATTATCAAAATTTTGCTACAAAATCACTTGGAAAGTGCATGATTTGAAAGATTATTTGGCAAAGGCGTCCGCTATTAACATGAGTATGAATTTTATAAAAAAAATTACTTGAATCAAAATCGAAGAATTCCTTGCCCCGTGTGTTCACCATTCACCCCGGGGGTTCACACTCGGCTCAGGTGGGGTACCTTTTTTACATTTGGTATGTCAAGCCAATGGACCCACATTTTAAGACAGATTTTTCCATTTTCTGGTATAAGAGTCGGTGTGGAAAATATGTTACCCCTCAATTGTGGTACGGCATTGGTCCCGGGGCATTGGTCTAGTTGTTACACATATCCTTCATTTGAGGTTGTTTATGATCATTTTACTCAAAGATCTGCCTTCTTCTCGGGGCATTCGATATTTCGAATGGCCTTGGTCTTATATTCTGGATATTTGGTACCCGGGGGTATGGCATTGGTTCTATATTTGGATGTTTGACATGGCATTGGTCTTGTGTTTGGACATTTGATATGGCTTTTTGGGGTTTATTTTAGTTTGTATGAGAACACATTTAATGCCACCCCCCAAATTACAAATCTACATCTATTCTCTCTATCCCAAAGGTGGATCGGAAGCATGAAAAACAGATGCAGACTCGGGACAGTTGCGAGGGGGGCTATAATGGAGAAATTCGTTTTGATTTTGAGTCTAACTGAAATATTTTGTCACAAATATTAATTAAATACGCAAATAGCCTGTTTTATTAAATGAGACTAGGGCAAAAAATCTATTCATTAAATCTAAAGCCTAGACGATATCTTCTGTAATCAAGGTGGTTTTGGTACACTTCCGCAATTATAAAAACAAAAACATAGACTAAGTTATTAATCTTTTGTTATCATATCAGATTAAGTCAGTTTTGTCTCCGATTGTTATGCAGGTGTGTGTATCGACTCCAGTGAACAACATTAAGTGAATCAATCCTTGAAATTCCCAAATTCATTCCAAATTCTGGCCGTTAACCGCCCCCCCCCTCCCCCATGTCTCTTAATTACATTTATTTTGAAAATGATATATAAATTATAGATTAAAATATTTCATTTTCGAATTGCACAAAGGGCAACATGTGAAGATAAAACCGCGATCCTAAAGCTACTTGCGAAACAAAGTGGTTTATGGTCCCCAATATCATTATTATATTAATACCAATACAATGTACCTCTATGAATATCATAAATTCACTCCTTTTTAATATCAATAGTCAAACAAATTAAGTAGTATGCTACAGTTGGTTATCAATCGGAGTTCACGACCTATTGATTACTCTTTAATACAAAATTTAACCATTTTAGAATGGGTAACTCACACCCCCCCCCCCCTCCCGTCCATGTCCATGAAGTGCGTAGACTGACATAATAGTGCCATTTATTAATTAAACATCACTGATTTATGTTGAGACATTCAGTGCGATTATTTCATTTCTTTGTTCAAAAAGTTAAAGCACCAATTAAATACATATTTTTATCACACAAAAGGGGCAGAATACTTGACCTTGTATCAATTCATATCCCGATAATTCTTTACAAGGGAATGTTTCTTATTAAAACATAAGCAGCGCCTAGGCGTCGATTGGGGGGGGGGTCAATCCGGTGTTCTCAGGCTATGTACAGCCAAGTATCCTGTTTATGTAAAAACCCTACGTTCCCGAATCACAATCAGACAATTAATTAGTATATTTGCTGTGTCTAGCAATTGATCATAGAATTAGATGTTGCGAAAACTATGGGAACTTGTACCTGTCTGTTTATGGATAGGCTGGGAAAGAACAGCAGAGAGAATGGTACATTCGATTGAATATGCTTGTTTTGCCCAATTGTGTATTAAAATGCCCCTCATTTATCATATGTATGGTCACAAGTTAAGTCGGCGATAATTTGTATTGACTTAACTTGAAACAAATTACTCCGAAATCCAAATACTCACAAATTACTCCGAAATCCAAATACTCATCGAAAAGTAAGTTTATCTTTATATTAAGCTAATACAAAATAAATATATAAATAGGCCTGATGTATCAGTGTTTTCAAAGTTTATTGCACGTTTTATCCTTGAAACGCCTTTCTTTTTCTTATCATGATATGTATTTCCTTCACTTAGGATCAATGCGTCGATTAGCATTGCCTGTAACTGATTTATATTTTCAAAAGGCGGCATGAAATTGCCAAAATGTTTAAATAAGTCAATGTGTCAGCGTAGATACAAAATAGTCTGTTTAATATTTGCTACATTTGGTCCAAACAGTCTGCGAAAGAATGATTAAAAAATATATCAATTAAAAGTATCAGAGAAAATACTTGCAATCGTTAAAATACTGTATGTATTGCTATTGGTAATTAGGTTAGTTGTTTACACATAATTATGTTGTTCAGTGTGCCAAGAGCGTGTCAAGAGGTGTAAAGAGTTGAATTCATCGCGTGTCAAGAGGTGTAAATAATTGGCACGTCTAGAAACCCGGCGTGTAAAGACCAGTTTCTAGACGTGTCAAGAGTTGGAATCCCATATTTCACGCAGTGTTAAGGTGAAATACACACATGATACAAAGCATTATATTACATTAAACTGCTACAACTATGACATCATATTATTCTATCAGTAACTACACTGCAAGTTGACTTTAGATGGTGCATTTTATGCTACTTCTGCTATGTACAAATTGATGAGTTAGTAAGTTATAAAGCGAAAAAAATGTCGTGTCGGCAAGATATGATCATTTTCTCGTTTGCTTCTTTGAGCTATCGCAATTTTTTAAATCAAAAGTAGTTATAGGGGCTTTTTGTTTTCTAACATATATCTTAGATAATAAATTTATCTTTTCTCAGTCTGATAAAACGCCGTTCGAGGTAGCCTACAATCAGGGAATGTGTTTATGTGAGGATTGTATTCGAAGATCGTATTTCTGTCTCCCCAAGGCTCTCCGCCCGATCCTAAGCAAAGGGAAACCAAAAGTATCTCGTTATTATCCAGGAGCACCACCAGATGACGCTGATAATACTCCTTAAATTCACTATGGCTATATTCTATTGAATAAAAGTTCTAAAACTTCGAGTCACATTGAGTTTGTTGCAAATAAATGATAATCGTACATAATCGTACATAATTACCTACATGGTGTTTCCTCTTTACATAACCCTCCTTTATCTTTTATATGAAATGTATAGGGTGTCAAATTAATATGTTCTCCCTAATTTCCAAAAGTATGCATTTTGTACACGTTATATATTATATCTTTGGGACTGTTCAGTTGTTAGAGAGTTGACAAAGTTATGGTTACTATGGTAACCATTGTTAAGGGTATGATGGGCAAAGTTCTGACACTTTTGAAAGACATTTTCAGTGTTGAAAGCAGTTTAATTACTGTTTAATGATTGCAGTGAAAGTACAGTTACAAATAATCCATTCCAGAGTCACTTCCTGATCCACATTCACTTCACAGGCCCTTAACCAGGAGAGGGGATTCGGGGGTCGAACCAAGCCCCCCCCCCCTCCCCCGACCAAAAACTCTTTCAAAATCATGCAGTTGTTCACCATTATGAGCACCTTTCAAGTGATTTTGGGCCAAAATAGGCACCTTAGCATCCATGTACAGTTGCTGCCTGCTGAAGAACCCCTACGGTACATATTCTTGAAGTCATCATTTAAACTCATCAAAATGATTTGAGGATCAACAGGAGGAAACAGCTTAATTATCTGAAAAATTCCTTTATCACTAAAATGTCTGAATCATCCTAACTATAGGATATCAAGCCTTCTCATAACTACATCTACCCTCTATACATTTTCCCTACTCTAATTCCATCTTGTTGGAGTCATATGTAATATCTCTTAATAATAAATGAATATAGCTTGTGTAATAATGTTTCACCATTCTTTATCATGTATTCTATCAATGTTTTCTGCTCCAAATTTTTTATTTTGAGTCATATTCTCCAATATTTCCTAAATTCATGAGAACTTTGATAATGTCATTAAATCAGGTGACTTGTTCAAGATGTTTGAAGAGTATAATTACGGTCATTCTTTGACATAACCAAAGAAACAAGATGGAAAATATTGAGATAAGATTTACATTTCACCCCCTGGTATGAGTATGGACAATTTTTTGAAGCTCTGATGAAATGTGTGGACAAAGCCCAGCAAAATGGTATCGTATTGATACCTCGCTAATTAAAACAATATGTTTTGTAAATTCCTAACGCACTAAGCAGGTAAATTCGCTACAACCACCACCAAATGAGAGTAAACTATTAGTAAGAATAAAAAGAATTGCGCATAAACCCATTAATTGTTGATATATTGTAAGTTAAAGTTACAAAACAATGTTAGTTTTTTGAAAATTCAGATTGTTTTTACTGCTAGTAGGATTATCTCACATATTTTTTGGTTAAATATTCGTAAAATGTGTAAAGCTTATCATCATTCATCACTAACATTTGAAATAATTAAGTTATATCCCTTCAACATTTTTTAGTCCAACTAATATAATTTTTTAACGCATATATTTCTTTATTTCCCATTTAGCATGGAGTACAAAAATTTAAACATTTAACACAACAGTGAAAATTAACCAAAAACAACGACACAAAACACATCTAAAAATTTAAGACAATAACAAAAAACACACAAAACAACAAAAACAATCCACATCTAAAATGTCAATGACAAGTAATAAAGTATCTATTAAAAATAACAAACAGTGGTGGAAAGTCACATTTCTAAAAAATATTTGCATCACTCTAAAATGGAGTGGTAAGATCAATATTTAAAAGTTCTACAACAGTACACAAGAAAGGTAGTAGAATTGCCAAGACTTTTGAATTGTCTGTAAAACATAAGCTTGAGAGGCCTTTCACTGACACACAAACGGGGTTTTCTCGAAAATCCTTTTTGAACGACTTTATCTTAAGCCCAATTCTGTTAAGGTTCAAGACATCGTTTAAGTTGTGTAGCATTTCATTGCGAGCATCCTCAGTTTTGGAACAATCCAACAGTCCATGTGAAACCGAATCCGGAGTTAGCACGCCACAGTGCTCACACAGGTTTTCATCATTACTTAACGGAATTGTTAACAGTTTTGAGGCTACGGTGGCAAACTTTAGCAGACCAGGGACGACCTTTGAGTGTTTCCAAAGTGGACACGGTTCTATTGAATCTTGTATTTGTCTCAGTCGACTAAAACTAACATCATTAGAAGTTCTATCTTGCCATTCGGAGTTTTGTACTGAATTTATTGCATGTTTTACGATGTTTTTCCAAATTCTTTATGGCGGAAAATACCCACTAAGTATTCGCGTAATGAATCTAGACTGTATTTATTTAATATTCTGTGATTATCAGGAATAAACCCCTTCTGGGAAGGGGACGTCTCATTTAAATGTAGTCTGGTAAGAAACACACGTTTCGCCAAATGAGTGTGCTTCAGATGTATAAGGCGTCCTAAAAAGAGTAATTTTTTACTTTCTATCATTGATTCAATGTTGTTTAGACCAAGCATTCCTAAGGTTAAGTCTGTTCTTGTCCATTTGGATTGGTCTTGCAGCGTTTTAGCGATGAATCTGAGACCTTTCTCAAGCTGGAGAGTTTGTGTTTTTGTCATTTCATACCAAAGCTCGGCACCATATAAGGCTGTGGGAATACAAATTCATCGAGCGAGTTTAGCTCCTGTTAAGGGGTTTAGTCCACGGGGGTGTACACCAACACCTACTAAACTGGCAAAACTCGAGCGTAAAGTTTGACACGCCTTGTTGACTTTAACTTCAGCAGAAAGTGTCGAGTTATAAAGGTTTCCCAAGTGTTTTACTTCGTCAACTTCTTGAAGACTTTGCCCGCCAGAAAAGTCCCAGTTTCTAATCTTCTTAAGTCAGCACGCCCCCTTGTCTTATTGATTGCTGTAGTTTAAACCACTCAGATGAGTACCCACTAAGTTGAATTTTAGCTCTCATGTTCTTAAAAAGATCGTAGAGGATTCTAAAGAGTTTTCCAGTGATACCTGCCTTGTACATCTTCCAGAAAAGCCCGTCATGCCACACGGTATCGAATGCACGTTTCGTGTCGATGCACGCTATGAAAACCTTGTTACCGAGTTCTAAATTGTTGTAAAGAGTCTCTGTAAAGTTGAAACTGCACGTTAAGCTACACAACTGTTCTTGCAATAATATAATTTTTTAACGCATTTATTCGTGTGGACAATGAACTGATGCAATATTACATTGGTCTTGTTAATACTAGTATGCAAGAACGTATGAATAGCAATGCTTTTAAACATTCTAAACCCATGTTTGCTGTCCACGGGGCTATCAATTAAATTGTCGGTTAAGGATGTATTAAAATAGCAATCATAATATGTTCTTAATAGCTTGTATTTAGCAAAACTCACAACTAGATTTTGATAGTTTTACTACAAAGCTAAACAATTTCCCCACAAAACTATCAGAAGAGGAACTGTTCATCTGAAATGCTGTTATTTTTGTGTAGTTTTTTAAGTCATGTCACCATGGCAGTTTTGACGAGCCATAAGTTATTCTTGAGCAAAATCTGAATATTGTTGTCCAAAACTACTTGAAAAGTTAAATTGCCTTTGACCAAGGGTACATGTCCTATGTAGTATTCAACCGTTGAATATATTTACAATTATCAACCTACCTCATATCTTATCTCATTATTTTCCATGAAAGAAAATTAAGGACATTGTTGAAGCCACGTCGGTATTTGTGCATGATTACCTCCTTTGCATTTTGGGTGACAAATATCAGATGATTTTGACATGAAATCCACGGTGATTTAATTTTAAAGATAATAATTTTGGGTTATATTCCCTCGATAAACTAACACAATACACAGTCATGTACATTTTATTTTGGAGATTTCAGAGAAAATTTCACAGTGATATCATTAATTAGTTTTATTGTTTTTTCCATACAGGATGTCTGGAAATTTATACAGAAAAGTAAAAAGAATTTCAAAGAATGCGAAACATTATCTGTGCGTCCTCATCCCTAAATATGAACAAACATATTTCAATAAAGGTAAAACATACAAAATTCAGTTATTTGAAAATGAAACAATTACCTTTTATTGCATAACCAATGAAATTCAAATAAAATAATGCGAAAAACACAGAAGTACAAACTTTCATCTTAAGTTCATTCATATTGTATTAAACAATGGCTTCAAGTATGAACGGATTCAGCTGGTGCCCTATCATACATATCAGAGGTCAGATTCAAATCAAAACTTGTATCCTAATTGTGTGTCAAAATACCACCACTCATGTGAGGACCTTACATCAGAACATTGTCCATACACAAAAAATATCGACAAATCACTCATAAATTCCAACAGTTACATGTATTTGGGAATATAAGCGATGGGTTATTACAGGTACCATCATTGGACGTTCCTAGGAGTTCTATACTTGCCTACAACACTGGGAAAGAAGGAGAATTCCAAAAATACCGAAAATTTTCTCAAATCTTTTGTAAAGTCACATTTAACTTTCGATTTCATAATAATTACAATACAAGTTGAGCATGTTTAGGGTTTCATTGGAGCTATAGGTGTTCATTGACACACCATCCAAACATTTGACCAAGTATCGGCATTACAAAGTGTTCAAATATGAAATATAAACATACCTTCCCTCCAAGACCTCCATTTTGCTGGGCTTTGTCCACACATTTCATCAGAGCTTCAAAAAATTGTCCACACTCATACCAGGGGGTGCATTTGGCATGAGAACAATACCAGACATTATTTAAATTCAAATTGACATTTTATAGAATGTTTAGTAACATTGATCTTTATGTGTTACTAGTTATCTTTTATAAAATGATACTTTAGCGTCATCACCATGGTCACTCTGGTAAACTCTGGTAAAATGTGAAGTAGTAGGCCTATTTACATGAAACTTTGACAATGTAAGGGAATAAGATATGGGCACATACATACTAACTATGAACAATATCGGCCCATTATTCTCACAATTAGATATAATTGTGCAAAACGTTTAGAACAA